GAAGCCTGGGTTTAAGTTGGGTTCCTCCACATGGATTTACATTTACTTTTTCCAGGGGCCTACGAACACATTGCTAATATGAATCAATGCTTTAAAATCATGAGAGGACATGCTTACTATTAGAAATTCTCCAGGAGAGAAAAATAATTTAAAAAAAAAAAAAAGAAAAAAATTCTCAAGGAAATTCTTACTGTCAGCCTGCGTTCAATCAGAGTCAAAGGCTGAAACAGACAAGTTTCATTACTTTTCCACTTTAGGGATAATGTTGCAAGATTTAACAAATAAAAAATACAGGACATCAGTTAAATTTAAATTTCAGATAAACAACAAACTAATTTTTAGTCTAAGTATATTAATTTTCTATAGATGTAGCATTTTCTAGTTTATCCACTGTAGTGTCTTTTTTCAAAGTTTCCACTTTACGTTGGGTCTCTGATCTGAATTTCCACCTTGCATGGTGCCTTGAGTTGTAGCTGTTATACCTCTCTTGTCTAGAGAAATCAGCAAGTGCTTTGAAGATAGCTGTTGCTTTATTGAATACTTAGCTCTCTGGATTTGTATTTTCTTATTTTTATTCTTTTTTCACCCTGAGGATTTTCCTTAATTTCTTGACTATTGAACTTTGCTCTAAATATTAGTAGGAGAATTTGTTAACAACTTACATAAGTTGTTAAACTGACTTGACTTGGTGGCTTACACCAGTAATTGCAGCACTTTGGCAGGCCAAGATGAGAGGATTGTTTGAGTGCAAGAGTTCAAGACCAGTGTGTACAACATAGGGAGACCCCATACCTACAAAAAATTTGAAAACTTAGCCATGTATGGTGGTGCATACTGGTGGTCCCAGCTACTTAGGACGCTGAGGCAGGAGGATCACTTGAGACTGGAAGGTTGAGGCTTCAGTGAGCCATGACTGTGCCACTGAACTGCAGCCTAAGTGTCAGAGCAAGACCCTATCTCAAAAAAAGACATTAAACTCTTGCATTTTCTCATTGTCTGAACTTTATGTGTTCAATAGTGCTTAGTGACTTTGTTTAAAGTCCATAATTAGCACAAAGTGAGCCTGTATGTCTTCTTATCTTGTCCATTGGAATTGTTTATACCACTGAAAAAAATACATTTTTAAGAAATATATTGGAATTCCATTCAATCAATGTTTTTGAAAATGAAGAAAAATACAGTCACTAATTTTATAATCATCACTACCAGGCTTCTTGTTTATGTGTATAATTCTACATAAAATAATCTTCTTGGCCAGGCATGATGGCTCATGCCTGTAATCCCAGCACTTTGGGAGGCTGAGACAGGCAGATCACCTGAGGTCAGGAGTTCAAGACCAGCCTGGCCAACTTGGTGAAATCCCATCTCTACTAAAAATACAAAAATTAGCCGGGCATGGTGGCACATGCCTGTAGTCCCAGCTACTCCAGAGGCTAAAGCAGGAGAATTGCTTGAACCTGGGAGACGGAGGTTCCAGTGAGCCGAGATTGTGCCACTACACTCCAGTGTGGGCAACAGAGTAAGACTCTGTCTCAAAAAAAAAAAAAAAAAAAAAGGAAAAGAATCTTCTTGCCCTGGAAGTTAATCAGTTTAGAATTCATCTGGTATTTCAGTTGAGAAAATAAACATATGAAGAAATACAAGTGGTTTTAAGAGTGACAAGGTTAGGAGAAGATAGACCCAAAAACTGTAATAGATGTGACAATTAGTACAATAAAATCAGAATACAAGTCTCTCAGAGCTTTGAAAACAAGAATGACAAAGAGCACTTATAACCCATTGTTTTATTTCCTTTAACATTTTTTTTTATTCTTTTAATACTGTAGCAAGTATGTGAACCCATCATTGTTTTATTTCTGTCAGAAAGCTTCTAAGTATTCTTTGTCCTTCTCGTAAAATCTCAGGGAGATGTGGCTAAATATCAGTCTTGTTCAAATGTATTCCTCAGCGTCCCAAGTAGCTGGGACTACAAGCGCGTGCCACCACGCCTGGCTAATTTTTGTATTTTTAGTAGAGACAGGGTTTCACCATGTTGGCCAGGCTGGTCTCAAACTCCCGACCTCAGATGATCTGCCCGCCTCGGCCTCCCAAAGTGCTGAGATTACAAGCATGAGCCACTGCACCTAGCCCAATTTTGGCAATCTTACTTTTATTTTCCCAAACTTTCTTTTCTGATGCTCATTTTTTAATCATCTTATTCCTGGTTTTTGGATCTCATGTATACTAAAATCTATTTAAGGCACTACTTAGAATACTTTAAAAAATATACCCTGAATTGGCTGGGCATGGTGGCTCACGCCTGTAACCCCAACACTTTGGGAGGCTGAGGTGAGTGGATCACGTGAGGTTAGGAGTTCAAGACCAGCCTGGCCAACATGGTGAAACCCCGTCTCTACAAAACAAAAGACAAAACAAAAGCAAAATAATAAAGAAATAATCCACAAATGCTTCTATGAAATTTACCGAATAGAAGGTTAAGTAGCTGAAAAGAAATAAGATTGTGAGGCTGAGGCAGGTGGATCACTTGAACCGAGGACTTCAAGACCAGCCTGGGCAACATGGCAAAACCCCATCTCTACAAAACAAAAAACAAAACAAAGCAAAGCAAAAACTAGCCAGGTGTGGTGGTGTACTCGTAGTCCCAGCTACTGGAGGGGCTGAGGTGGGAGGATTGCTTGAGCCTGGAAGGCTGAGGCCACAGTAAGCTGTAATCACACCACTGTATGCCAGACTGAGTGACAGAGTGAGATCCTGTCTCAAAACAAAACAAAACAAAAAATGGTGGGTGCAGTGGCTCATGCCTGTGATCCCATCATTTTGGGAGGCTGAGGTGGGAGGATCACCTGAGGTCAGGAGTTCGAGACCAGCCTGACCAACATGGAGAAATCCTGTCTCTACTAAAAATACAACATTAGCCGGGCATAGTGGCACATGCCTGTCACCCCAGCTGCTCAGGAGGCTGAGGCGGGAGAATCAGTTGAACCTGGGAGGCAGAGTTTGCAGTGAGCCGAGATCATGCCACTGCACTTCAACCTGGGTAACAAGAGCAAAACTCCTTCTATTTAAAAAGAAAAAAAAAGGAAAGAAAAGAAAAAGAAGTAAGATAGCAGAATCTTACTCTCCAAATCTGCTTTCTTTTTCTAATATGTACTTTAAAAAAAAATGCAGTATTTACCAAGAGGTAAAGCATTAACTTAGAGATTGGACTGTGCAAGGCAGTGGCTGCCAATACATCATTAATCTTAGAGGACTGTTCACTCTCATCAGTTGTCAAAAGGTAATGAAAACAGAGAATTTCTCAGCCCTATTGATAACACATGAGTACAGGCCGATTTGGATCTTTTATTCCATGATCCTATTTTAGTCCCTTGTGGGTAATGGAATCCCACTGTGTTATCTGTCTTTTTCCTTCCTTCCTTCCTTCCTTCCTTCCTTCCTTCCTTCCTTCCTTCCTTCCTTCCTTCCTTCCATCCTTCCTTCCTTCTTTCCTTACCTCCCTCTCTCTCTTTCTCTTCTTCTTTCCTTTTCTTTCTTTCTCTCTTTCTTTTCTTTTCTTTCTTTCTCCTTCCTTCCTTCCTTCCTTCCTTCCTTCCTTCCTTCCTTCCTTCCTTCCTTCCTTCCTTCCTTCCTCCCTCCCTCCCTCCCTCCCTCTCTTCCTTCCTTGCTGAGACTGAGTCTTGCTCTGTTGCCCAGGCTGGAGTGCAGTGGCGCAATCTCGGCTCACTGCAAGCTCTGCCTCCCCAGCTCATGCCATTCTCTTGCCTCAGCCTCCTGAGTAGCTGGGACTACAGGCACCTGCCACCACACCCGGCTAATTTCTTTTGTATTTTTAGTAGAGACAGGGTTTCACCATGTTGGCCAGGATGGTCTCGATCTCCTGACCTCGTGATCCACCCGTCTCGGCCTCCCAAAGTGCTGGGATTACAGGCTTGAGCCACCACGCCCGGCGCTGATTCCTTATTTAGACCTCTGTGCCTGAGTCCTTGCCTTCCACCTTGGTACATTAGAAACCTGACTGCGGCTTTTCTCCCTATGCCTCACTGACCCCGTTCCCTGCAAATTGGACTGTCCTCTATCTCCCCAATTCCATCTAGCCTAGTGTATGAGTTGATCCTCTGCAGGTCACTTTCTGTGACCAAATTCCAACAGCTACTTTTAGACCTTTCTGGCATTATCTCCCCTTTCTTCTGGAGCTTTTCCAAAGGTCTGACATTTGGGTATCTACCAGTCACCTGCCTTTGCTGACAAAAATGTGGTAGAGCTAGAATGCAAGACCAGATTTCATCACCTCCAAAGACTGCTTGTCTGCACCAGATCCAACCACTGTTTATATGGACATTTTGAAAAGGTTCCCCAGATGAAGGACCAAGGTAGTGGCTCATGCCTATAATCCCAGCACTTTGGGAGGCTGAGGCAAAAGAATTGCTTGAGGCCAGAAGTTCAAGATCACTCTGGACAACAAAGTGAGACCCTGTCTCTAAAAATAAAAGTAAATAGCAAATGTTTACAAATGTTCCCCAAATGATTTAACAGAGAGGGTTCTGCAAAGAAGGCCTCTTGCAAACACTGACTTCCTGAACAGTCAACTCACTGGGGAAAGAGCTAACTCTCTTAATCTAGTTGATGTCAGTGTAACTGAACGCCTGTTAGTCGAGGTGAGATACTGTCCCCTAGCAGACCTAGGGCACGGAAGTAAAGATGACCCATGGTAAGGTGGCCTCATTTGGTAGCAAAGGCAAATCGAAGATTTCTTGATCCATAAATCAGTCTATAAAAAATAAGTAAGACTTTGGACTAACAGTTTTGTTTTGTTTTTGCCTGTTTGCAGGCATCCAACACTCATCTCAAATCAGTGTCTTGCGGAAGCAGAAGAAAAGTAATATATCTATTGTATTTTGAAATGAAAACAGGAATTATTTTGCTACAGAGCTGTAGCTTAACATTTTTAGCAAAATGTGGATCCTTCTTCTCAATCTTCATTTAGGATGCTGTAACTACAACCCTTTGTTTAGTTAGTGGAATTGAGAACAAGGCCCAGGTGGATGATGATTGAGGACTAAACCCCAAACTTTCCTTGGATCACTCCACTGTTTTAGGTAAGATCAGAGGGTAGTTAACTCTAAGTTATACAAATTGTTGTCTGCAGTAGCATGAGGATACACCTTTCAGATCTCCTACTGCAGGAAGCATAATTTACTTCCAGCCCTAGCTGCTGGTGTGCCCAGCATTGAGGCCACACTTCCTGTGGGCTGTTCCCAGTCAAAGACTGAGTATGGCAGGGATACCAAGGAGGCCCCTTCCTGGGAGGCAGGGACTCCTCTAATGGGCAACTTAGGTTCACTGACTCCCTTTTGACCTTGCTGAAACTTTCTTAGAACTACAAGACAGTCTATGGCCTGTCTCTCCTCCTTCCTTCCTCCTTTTCTCCCTCCCTCCCTCCCTTACTTCCTTTCTTCTTTCCTTTCTCCCTCCTTTTCTCTTTTCCTCTTTCCCTCTCCAGTTTCTTCCTTTCTTCCTTTCTTCCCTTCTCCTCCCTCCCTCCTCTCCCTTCTCTCTTCCTTCCTCCCTCCCACCCTCCCTCCCTCCCTTCCTTCCTTCTTTCCCTTCTTCCTTCTGCCTTCCCAGGGCTCAGACCTGTGTCATGATCTGATGGCTCTCCTATCACCCTCTTGTTTCCTTCTCATTCTCCCTCCCCAGTGTTTTCACCAATTACTCTCTTATCCAGCTAATCCTGTCTTGGCATCTGCTTGTCAGAGAACCTGGACTAAATCATTATTTAAGTAACTTGTTTTGCATGTGTAATGTAGGATCAAACATCACTTCTGAGTTCGGGGGCAAATATCATTCATTAGAAGGGTTAAGACCTAATGATGAAAAAAAAAAAAAAAACCAATATGTGCACTTTGTGGATCAACTGACTCCTCTGTTGACCTAAACATGTAGAACAGTATTCCAGTTCTTAATACTTTAAAATCTCTAGAGCAAGGCCTTATAGCTTGGAAGAAAACCATTGGAAAGCCAAAAGGAAAGAAGTGGGACCAGCCAATTCTCCTCATTCTAGGTCTGGGGCAATGAACTTAGGGGGGAGGTCGTACAAACTGGAAACCATAGCCCTATCTCATGGCTTAACTAGGGGTGGTTAAGGCTCTGAGAGGCAGATTGTCACCTCATTATCTATCCACCCATGCACACAAAGAAGTCCATGGAGCACCCACTCTATGACCAGCACTGGTGGGCCCTGAAGATAACAGAGGTTATCCTCAAGAAACTCAAGTCTATGGAGAAGATAGGCTTGGAAACAGACGGACTAATGATACAGTACAAGCCCTAAAACTGAGATGTGAACTGACTTGGGAAGTATGTAAGGACACCTCCAACTACTTGGCAGATGGAAAGGCATTTAAAGTGGAAACTGAAGGATGGAAGAGATGGTCAGACAGTGAAGAGAAATGACATGAAGGAGCTCCATTCACAGAGAGCAAAATAGATACATCTACAGTCTTTTTCTTCTTTTTCTTTTTTTTCAGCCAGGGTCTCACTCTGTCACCCAGGCTGGAGTGTAGTGGCGTGATCTCAGCTCACTGCTGTCTCAACTTTCCGGGCTCAAGTGATCCTCCCACCTCAGCCTCCCAAGTAGCTGGGACCACAGGTGGATGCCACCATGCCCAGCTAATTTTTATTTTATTTTTGGTAGAGATGTGGTCTCCCTATGTTACCCAGGCTGGTCTTCAACTCCTGGCCTGAAGTGATCCTCCTACCTCGGCCTCCCAAAGTGCTGAGATTAAGGGTATGAGTCACTGTACCTGGAATTTTTTATTTTTTATTTTTTTTTAACATTAAGATCCTAGGAAACAAATTCACAATCTTTTAAGATGTTTCTGGGGCACCACAAGATGTTTCTGCTTGCTGCTTATCACTGGGCTTGCTGGCCTTACTGCAGGCCCTTGACCTTCTCTCCCTTCTCCAGGATGTCGAGCTTCTTCACACTCATGCTGTGTATTCAGAACATCTTCACCTAGCCTAGACTGTGGACCAGACATGGGGACAACATGAGCAAGACAGACAAGATCCCTGCTCTCCTACATCTTGTATTCTGATGGGGGAGACAGAAGATAAGCAAGGAAAAATGATAACAAATAATGTTATATGATGAGGACAATAAACCAATAATATGATATAGAGGATGAGGGTGACTACTTGAGAGTGGGTGCTCACGGCCTTCCTGCTGAAAGGCCCCGTCGCCTCGCATTTCAGCAATCCCAAGTTTAGTGTATTGGAGTAAAGGGTGTGGTACCACCCTGACCTCGAATGCTATCCTCAGCAGGTTAAACCCGATTAGGAAGGTGTTTTTGGCTGGGTGCAGTGGCTCACGCTTGTAATCCCAATGCTTTAGGAGGCTGAGGCAGGAGGGTTGCTTGAGGCCAGGAGTTCAAGACCAACCTGGGCAACATGGTGAAAACCCCGTCTCTACAAATAATTTTAAAAATTAGCCAGACGAGTGTGGTGGCTCGTGCCTGTAGTCCTAGCTACTCAGGATCATTTGAGCCCAGGAGTTGGAGGTTACAGTGAGCTGTGATGGCATCACTGCACTTCAACCTGGGTGACAAAGTGAAACCCTATCTCCAAAAAAAAAAGGAAAGTGTTTTAGTATTTTAGTTTCCTAGAGCTGCTGTAACCAATTATTTCAAAGTAAGTGGTTTAAAACAACAGAAATTTATTGTCGTACAACTCTGGAGGTTAGAAGTCTAAAATCAAGGCATATTCAGGATTATGCTCTCTCTCTGAAGGTTCTAAAGGAGGGTCATTCACTGCCTCTTGTAGCTTCTGGTGGCTGTCTGCAATCTTTTTTTTGTTTGTTTTTTGTTTTTTTGAGACAGAATCTCACTCTGTTGCCCAGGCTGGAGTGTAGTGGCGCAATCTCGGCTCACTACAATCTCCACCTCCCGGGTTCACACCATTCTCCTGCCTCAGCCTCCTGAGTTGCTGGGACTACAGGTGCCTGCCGCCACGCCTGGCTAATTTTTTTGTATTTTCAGTAGAGATGGGGCTTCACTGTATTAGCCAGGATGGTCTCGATCTCCTGACCTTGTGATCCACCTGCCTCGACCTCCCAAAGTGCTGCGATTACAGGTGTGAGCCACCGCGCCTGGCCTTTTTTTGGGTATTTTTAGTGGCGACGCAGATTCACTATGCTGCCCAGGGTGGTCTTGAACTCCTGAACTCAAGTGATCCACCCACCTTGACCTCCCAAAGTACTGGGATTGCAGGCATGAGCTCTCACACCCAGCTGGCTGCCTGCAATCTTTAGCCTTCCTCAGCTGGCAGGTGTATCACTCCAGTCTCTGCCTCTGTCATCACATAGCGTTCTTCCCATGTGTCTGTTTATGTGTCCAAATTCCCTCCTATAAGGACACACATCATTGGATTCGGGTGCACACTAATCCAGTGTGACCTCCTCTTGACTTATTACATCTGTGAAGACCCTATTTCCAAATAAGGTCACAATCTGAGGTTCTGGGTAGGCATGAATTTGGGGGAGACACTCTTCAACTCAGTAGAGAAGGGGAGTGGAGTAACCACATTCTGCTCTGTAAGGATGACACAGGGGCAAACCCTGCACTAGAAAAGGTAGTGATGGAGAAAACAGGAGACCTGGTGAGCTCTGATAGAGGCAGACCTTTCCTCTATCACGGCTTTGCATGTTCCCTTTGGTTAGGAACACGAGTTTCCATCAATGGGTCTACCTTCAGAACTCTTCAGTTTTCAGACTGCATTCAGAAATCTACTTGAGGGCCGGGCACAATGGCTCACGCCTGTAATCCCAGCACTTTGGGAGGCCGAGGGAGGCAGATCACTTGAGGTCAGGAGTTCGAGACCAGCCTGGCCAACATGGTGAAACCCCATCTCTACTAAAAATACAAAAATTAGCCTGGCGTGGTAGGAGGAGCCTATAATCCCAGCTACTCTGGAGGCTGAAGAAGAAGAATTGCTTGAACTTGGGAGGTGGAGGTTGCAGTGAGCTGAGAGCATGACACTGCACCACTCCAGGCTGGGTGACAAAGTGAGATTCCATCTCAAATTAAAAAAAAAAAAAAGAAATCTTCTTGAGTTTTATTTCTTACTGAAGTTTTTCTTTGTAAAAAATAATAATAAGTACATGGGATTTAGTTATAATTTCCTTTATATTCTTCCATTTGTTTGAGATTTGTTCATTAAAATTAGTTAAAAGTGAAAAGTGGGCCAGGCGCGGTGGCGCACACCTGTAATCCCAGTACTTTGGGAGCCTGAGGCAGGCGGATCACAAGGTCAGGAGATCAAGACCATCCTGGGTAATGTGATGAAACCCCGTCTCTACTAAAAATACAAAAGAATTAGCCAGGCGTGGTGGTGGGCGCCTGTTCCCAGCTACTCAGGAGGCTGAGGCAGGAGAATGGCACAAACCCGGGAGGCAAAGCTTGCAGTGAGCCGAGATTGTGCCCCTGCACTCCAGCCTGGGCAACAGAGCGAGACTCTGTCTCAAAAAAAAAAAAAAAAAAAAAAAAAAAAAAGGTGAAAACATGAGTTAATTTTTTTTCCTTTTTTAATGGGGAAATAATTTCAAATTCACAGAAAACTTGAAAGAACAAGAATAGTACTAAGAACACTTAGATTGTTCCTCTACTGTTAGCATTTTACCCCATTTGCTTTATCATTTGTTCTGTCTATCTCTTCCTAATCATTTTTCCCTGAACTATTTTGAGGGTACATTACATACATTAAGGCTCTTTATCCCTATATATGACAATGTACATTTCCTAACCACTTCACAGTTGTTAATCTCAATAAATTTGACACCATACAATGACTTTTATTTAAAATATCAACCTCGTTGGTATTCCAGTTTTGTCAGTTAACTCAATAATGTCCCTTTTTGTTTGTTTGTTTAAAGACATGGTCTTGCTCTGTTGCCCAGACTGGAGTGCAGTGGTGCAATCTCAGCTCACTGCAACCTCTACTTCCTGGGTTCAAGCAATTCTCCCACCTCAGCGTCCTGACTAGCTGGGACTACAAGGCATGTACTACCATGCCCAATTAAATTTTGTATATTTTGGTATAG